AGTCTTAGCTGGCAGGTAAGTCAGACAAGGCCTATTGAGGCAGAATAACCACATGCACAAAGGTCCTGAGGCAGAAAGGAGTTTCGTGTGAATGAAACTTGGAAAAAGGAGGTAAAAGAAAACTTAAGTATAAGAGAGTAAAAGAAAAATTCAATCTGTGCTTAATGTCACCTCCTCTTCTACACAGGCCTGTGGCAGCCCATGCCTTTTGCTTGGTTCCCAGGGATACCTGGGAAGATAGGAGGGTTCTAAGCAGGGCAGATGCCAGTGATGAGATCCACATTATGAGTGGGAAGAACCACAGGAAGGTCAGGGGGAGGCAGAGGTTTGAGAAAGGGGTCTGGGGAGTCACCTGGCTGTGGGAGCTCAGTCCCTAAGCCCACCTCATTCCCATAGGCCCTGTTTAAGCAACAGAAAAAAAACTTGAATGTTCCTGTCTTCTTTTCCAGTTATTGTTGCAGGATACCCAAGGACTTTTTTTTTCTGAAGAAACCCTGACCAATCTTTCTTCCTTTCAAAGTTTAGGAGACGTGAAATAACATCTAGGATCATGCATATGCTGCCAGTATTTTTTTTTTTACACAGAAAGGCGTTCAATCTTGATTTTGGTATTTCTTTTTAACTTTTCTTTTTAACTTTGAGATTTTTTTCTCTGCTTATTTTTGTTGTTACTTTGGCCTATCAGTGAAACTGCAGTTGTATGGGATATCCCACGCGTGATGCATGGTAACTAAAGAGCTCTTTGTGTCTATATGTTGTATGTCTGTATGTCCTTTCCTTGTGTCCTTGTCTTGACCTCCAGTGGTTGACAAATTGGTACACATGGTGCCCAAAGACATTGGAAAAAAAAAGAGTCTCCAGTTATGAGAAAAACTAAAGGTCATGGTTTGATTGTCAACATTGTGCTACTGAACTAAGCCGGTGCCTTCATAGAGATTGAATATTGTTGTTTCTGTTATTTTTATGATATTTATGGCAAAGCTTCCCAGAAATCTAAATTCAAGTACAAATTTGGTAGCCTGTCATTTGGCTGATGCAAGGAAATTTTGTGGAACCTCAGTAGAGCTCCTGAGACACTCCACAAAGTTTCTCCCTTTCCTCCTGGGAAGGCATTAGATGAATTTGTTCTATTTGGCTCACCTAGTAGAGTAAAACTAGAAGGGAAGCATTGTCACTTGGGAAAACGGGTAACACCATGACCTGATATGGATGTAAATTGTCAATAATGATTGTCACCTTGTAATAGTGTATACTTCAATTGTTTAATATCTACAGAAATTGTTTCTGAAAATATAGGGAGAAAAGGTCTCAACAGATTCCTATTGATGGAACTGTTGAGAGTAAAACTTTCCTACTAAGGACTGAATAGACCTGGAAATACACCTCATATTTACTAAGTTTTCCTTGACATAATACTGATGATTTTTTTTGCATTTTGTTCTAAATCCACAAAGTTTTCTTGTTTTGGTGACCAGGATCTGCAGCAAGGTTGTAATTTTTTTTTTCTCTTTTTTTTTTCCAACAAAGCTAACTTGTGTTTGCATTTTCTCTCCCCTTGATACCAACACAGCATAAAAATAATGGTAGTAATCTCTTACTACTTATCTCAGAGTCTGTTTTTGCATAACTTCCATAGGGATTTTGTTTAAACTGAAAAAATTGGACATAAGTTTCATTGTGTGGCTTTGTGTGGAGTTCTTCCAGAAAGTTGAAACAGGGCTGAACCAAGATGAGGAGAACCTGTTTGCTTTGTTCGTAGGGTTCCAGAGACCTCCAAAGAAGGTGAGGAAGGTTGCCTCCATTGGCAGGACTGGACAACCCGGCCAACGAAAATTCCCTGGTACCCTCGAGAAGAGGAAAGCCCAGGTGGAGTCTGATGAGACCAACTTGTTCCAGAAGCCTACACGGACCGGATGTCAACAGTTCGCTCTGAATCCTATATGGAGTATTCCAACGAAGCCAGCTAAAAATTGCTGCTTAGTTATTCTGCCCTGTGATTTTATGCAAAAATAGGCAATATGGTTTAAAAGTAGATTTAGTTTGCAAACTTTTGCTATGCTGTTAAAAAATTTGGGATCAAGGTTGAGAGAATTTGTTTTTTACATAAGTCGAACCATTTTAAGATTTTTTTTTCCTGTGATTTTTGACATATCTGCTGTCTTGTTCTGGCTAATGCCTCCAGATGTTTTCTTTCAGCTGGGACTGATGAACTGTTTTTCCAGGAATGGAGGACTTTTGCTTTCCACAATGGACACTACCTGGAGGGATTCGTTTTCTTTCAGACTGGAACCCTGGAAAAATTTTCATCTGAGACTGTATCCCAGCATCCATATGTTGGATCTTCATCACCATGGAAATGGTGGCAAAAGTGAAAGGGGGGAATTGTTAGGGGGAAATGATGTCCTGAGATAATCCCATACAGGCTTTGTGGACCCCACCCCCACTCCAGACTAAAGCCATCAAGACATTGGGAAAGACAAATCCCATCACCACCAAGGGAGGGTGGCTGGGACCTGAGGATGGAGTTGGGTAGCCAGGTTGGATATAAAAACCAAACACATGGGCCTTGGGGTCTCTCTGGCTCGCGATCGCTCGCCTCCTGGCTTCACCGCTCCTGGCTGGCGGCCAACTCTGAGAGCGCCATTTTGGGATTCCTGATCGGCGGATGGGGTAGGACTCATTTAAAACTTTGTCTCCCACTTTTCTCCCAGAGCTGTACATTTCCTCATTTCCCCTGCCCTTGTAAATAAACCTTTTTTATTAACCTTTCACGTGTGCCTGCAGTAGAGCATTGATAAGTCCTTTTAAGCGCGCGGGTGAGGACCCACAGTCAGGCACCCCGTTTTGTATCGGGGTTGCTCTACAACAGTTCCAGAGCAGGGAATAGAACAGGCAGACTGACAAGGTACACTGCTGAGGGGAGCAGCAGGCGGCAGGAGAGGTCTGCGCGCCATGTGGGACCCTTGCCGGCGGCTGGGGATCAAACCTGCGCTGCAGAGGCTGTGGGTAGCTTCGCAGCCCAGCACTCAACCGCTGCGCCACCAGGGAGTTCCCATATTTCTTTTTTATTGCCACCCCTTCCTCCTGTTGCTTTCCCCTGCACCAAGTCACTCAAACTTTACAGGGAGACCCCCTCCACCAGGGAGGATCCTAATTTCCGTTTCTAAGGACACTATAATCTTACTTGATCTGGGTCCCCCTTTTTTAACTTAATTACCTCCATAAAATCCCCATGTCAGGGTCCTCCCTGGTGATACAAGGTGTTAAGTCTCAGTGCTCTGAAGCTATTGGCAGCCACTGCAGTATCAGTTCGATCCCCTGCCAGGGAGCTGACCCACATGGCGCAGCAGACCTCCCCTGTGTCCCCGCTGCCCCCCTCAGCCGTGTATTCCAGTCAATCTGCCTGTTCTGCTCCTACTCTGTCTCCGGTGAATCCTCTCATCCCGCTCACCTCTCACCTACACCCCAGCTCTTGTATGCCTAAATAAATAAAAATAAATCTTTTTTTGAAAGAAGACTTCTTACTTGAAAGAGGGTCAGCCTTTTTGTTCCATTTAACTGATTTGGATAAGGCCACATTTACCCATTTAAATGTTAAAATAATCTCATCCAAATATGCCCTCACGAAACCCCCTTAATAATGTTAGCCCCGATATCTCACTATCACGCAGCCCTGGCACTTTGACACATGAATGAACTGTCAGCCTCCCTGGCACTGTGGTGTTTAGTGTCAGTAGTCTTGGGCTGCTGCAGGACAGAAGGAAACCTCTGTCTTCTTTAAGCCACTGTTCTATTAGCCTTTGCCAGAACAGCTCCACTGGCCTGACATAATTTCCTCTCCGATGAAGAGGCAGAGTTGAGTTTCATTTTCCTTGAAATTGCGTCATCTCATAACTGTTTTGTAGTGCTTGCAACACAGCAGAAAAACACTGCACAAATCTGGTCAGGAAGACAATGCCGTTTCTTCCTGCGGCCTGATGCACTTTTTTTTTTTTTTTTTTATAAGACCTTTTTATGTTTGCATATAAGAACTGGGGTATAGACCAGAGTGTTGGGAGGGGGTGAGAGGATTCACCAGAGACAGAGTAGGAAGCAGAACAGACAGATCTCTTGAGATACACTGCTGAGGGGAGCAGCAGGGAGACAAGAGGTCTGCTGCACCATGTGGTTCAGCTCTCTGGCTGGGAATCGAACGGGTGCTGCAGTGGCTGCGGACAGCTTCACAGTGCTGTGACTTAACGACTTGCACCACCAGGAAGGCCAGATATACTCTAGACCCTTCAGTCACCACGCAAGAACTTCAGCTGCAATGAAGTCACTCTACTAATCCACACAAAGAAACCGCATGGAAAGCCCGGAGGTCCCATGAAAGTGGAGAGGCTCCTGGTCAGGGGGCAACTGCTTCAGCCTCTCCGGTGCTCCAGCCCCACTTACCAGCTGATGGGAAACACTGAGTGGCCCCGGGCTGGGCTACCTGGCTGTGCCACAGGTCCATGCACAGTAACACAATGGTTGTTGTTCTCAACTGACGTGTCACACAACAGCTAAGCCGAACAGCTGGTCTCATAACTACCAACATGAGAAATGGATTCATTTTTCACACCCCCAGGCAGAATGGGAAACCCCCAATTCTTCCTATTGTCCTTCACCCAAGAAACCTTCTTAGGTCCACGGTCAGGGCCCTTGGTCCCTGGGAATGTCTTAGCTGATGTCCTCAACGTCACTTAATTCCCAATTTCACGGCCCCTTCTCTGTTTACAAAGGTTCTTCCTCTTCCAGCTTGGTAATTGGTATCTATTTTTTTTTTCCCCTCAGAAAAGATTCAAATTTATGTTATAAAGGAATTCAACATAAAACAGTATTTGCAGTACTGTATGCAACTGATGCTCTCTCTCTATATATATATATATTTATTTATATACATGCATCCATATATCTATTCATTTTTCTAGACCACTTTGCTAAAACACACATTCACTCACTCCCTAAAACTAAAAGCAGGTATTTTAACCACACTGGCTGAATGACAGGTTTCTGTAGCATCCCCCAGACTATTTTCTCATGACTTGTTTCTTATCTTTTCCTGCTTACAAGGAGCCACAGTGAACCCCGCCCAGGAAAGTGCGTGTCTTCTGTGCACAGGGCCATGGATTTACTCTGTGCGCCCCCAGATCATCACCACAAGCTCCAGCACAGTGGGGACACCCCGCAGCCCTTCTTGGGGTCCACAGTTCCCCGCGCTGCCCATCTAGCCCCGGGGATTGTGCGGCTTTTTGAACTTCACACCCTGTTTTGTTCACACAGACCCGGGATTCCGGCGTCTGACACGCGCGGCCTCAGGGAAGCCCTTGCTGGGCCGCGGGGGGCTCTGACGGGCGCTCGGGATCCTGCCCTGGAGACGGCGCCTGACCTGTGACTCTGGAAACGCTGCTGCAGGCGCGGAAGTTCTCTAGGGCGTCCCACAGGCCCCAGGCAGGGGGGTTGCTCAGTGGCTGTCGAAGCTGATTGGCCGGTCAAGCGAGGGGAGCAGAGGCCGGAAAAGCAAGAGCTCAGAGTCCCGGAGGGGACCTGCCGCCCGGGTGGGCCTCGCCAGAGTCATTGGAGAGAGCGGCGGTCATGGACGGGTCTGGGGAGCAGTGCAGAGGCGGAGGTGAGGCTGGAGGCAGACGGGCGGGAGGAGGGGAGCCCCGGGACAGCCCCCCTAGAGCCCCGGCCGCGAGATCTCCAAGTGCTCGCAGCAGAACCTCCTGATCTATCGGGTGCCACCAGCCTCCAGCCCCTCCTTCCCCGGGGGTCCCGGCTCGCTTACTTCCGCACCTGATCTCTTCCTGCGGGGGCTCTCAGACCCTGCAAGCACCTGGAGACCCCTGAATGCAGACCCCCCCGACAGGCCCACTTCCTGCCTTTGCCCTGGGGGAGGGGCGGCTCTCCTCTCTGCCCCTCAGGCCAGAGGTCTGCACCCCTTAAGTCTTGCCCAGTCTTCTCCCAACATGCCCCCCTCCCAAGAGTGTAGGACTCAGGCTGGGCCTCCCCGCCTCTTCTCCATCAGGGACTCAGTTGTCCTGTCCCGGGTCACTTTATCTCCCAGGGCCCCAGATGTCCAGTGCCCCCCGCATGGTTGGCCTTCCTTGGGGACCATGAGCCAGCTCCCCACCCCCATGACCCCACCCCCCGGACTCCAGAGTCCAGACACCCCTCCCCTCCTGTCTCCTGCAGGGCCCACCAGCTCTGAGCAGATCATGGAGACAGCGGGCGTTTTGCTTCGGCGGTGAGTTTGAGAGGTTTGATTATTGGGGAGGGGATTTGAGGAGTGGCCCCTTCCTGACTCTGCATCCTCCACTCCTTTTGTTTTCAGTTTCATCTGCGATCAAATAGGACCAGCCACAAAATATGTAGCTCAGCTGGCACTAGAGCAGGTGGCCCAGGACCCACACATCAAAGAACTGGTGAAAGTTCTCAAGCGCAAGGCAAAAGAGGTGCACAAGGACAAGAAGCTGCAGAGGTGCGGCCCCAAGACCCAGGAATCCAGTCACTGGTCACCTCCATACACCAGGAGGCCCCAAGCCCGTCGTCTCCTGTGATCCACACGCACAAACCTTGCTCCTTTGCACCCCAGGGTCCCATCACTCAACTCAGAAATCCGAACTCCAGGCCGTCCCCTCTCCTTGGATCCTGAGACCCTCCTTGGGAGGTCATTTTCCTCTCTCCCCTAGATGTCTCCTGTCTGCACGTTGACCCCTTGCTTTTCATTTCAGCCTGACCCGGGTCCCTTTACGTCGGGGATGAAGTGGCTAGCGGGGTCTCCACACTCTGCTAGACACTCTCCCCCCATCACAGCTCTCCTCTTTCCTGCAGGTTGTTAGAAACTCTCAGAGGCTTCACTGCTGGCAAATTTTATGAAGTGGCACGCCAAATATTTTCAGATGGCATCTCCTGGGGCAAAATTGTCACCCTTTTCTGCTTTGCCAGCAAACTGGTGCTCAAGGTGGGCAGCTACAGGGTAGGAGTCCAGGGAGGTGTCCACAAAATCCTAAGGCCTGGGAGTCCTGACCGTACCCCTGTGGCAGCCCCTTGTCCACAGAGGGAATTGACAGAGACAGCTGTGGCTCCTGGTCTGCTCCTTCCTTTGCTTATTCGTTCAACACACATGGGCCCACCAACACTGCAAAGCAGGCTGCTGGGTCCTGCTCTCCTGCAGTCCACGTGTTACACCGGTCAGGAAAGACTTCTAAGAGGAGGTGACATTAAGCCAAAGCCGGGAGGACAATAAAGACGCAGTGATATAGAAGGGCCGGGTGGGCAGAGGCGTCTGGCAGAGGACACAGCAAGTGCCAATGTCCTGAGGCAGCGCCAGGTCTGTGCTGAAGGCAGTAAGATGTGTGAGGGCTGAGGGCAGAGTGTGGAATCCCTGAAGGACCTTTCCTCACAGGGACACAGGAGGATTGTCTCCTGTCTCTGCCTCTAAAAATGAGAATGAGGTGACAGGATTTTTAAATTTTTTTTTTAAGATTTATTTATTTATTTATACAACACTGGGTACAGTCAGAAGCGCGGGAGGGTGAGAGAATTCACCAGAGCCAGAGCAGGGAACAGAACAGGCAGGACTGAAGTACACTGCTGAGGGGAGCAGCGGGCGCGGCAGGAGAGGTCTGCGCGCCATGTGAGACCCACGCCTACAGCCGGGGATCGAACTGGTGCTGCAGAGGCTGTGGACAGCTTCGCAGCCCAGCGCTCATCTGCTGTGCCACCAGGGAGGCCGAGGTGACTGATTTTTAATTTGAAGATTATTCTCACATATGTAGCCAAATGCCAAATGCTGGTTGTGCAGCCCACTGTTGTGGCTGTGAGACTGTTCACTCTGAAATCCTGGTAGCTTTTCTCTGGAGACGCTCACAGTGGAAGAAGGATTATCACAGAACATAGTTTGGCAACTATAGTTGGGAAAGGGATTGCGGGGCGCAGGGGCAAAAGCTGGGACGCTGCGGGGGGACACCCAGAATGGACCCAGCGAACGATGAGGGGACAGACTCAGGTGGGAGCGGGGCTGGGAGGAAGGAGCTTTCTGGATGTGTTTGTAATATGGAGCTGATGGGGCCTGAATGTTGGAGGTGGGAGCAGCATTCAGTGCTGGGGGCTCGTGTGGATCTGGGGAGAAGCAGCCACATAGAGGGTGGAAGGGGGCGTCCAGAGAGTTGTAGAGCAGGTCACGGCAACTGGGGGTGTTGAGTCTTAGCTGGCAGGTAAGTCAGACAAGTCCTGTTGAGGCAGAATAACCAACATGCACAAAGGTCCTGAGGCAGAAAGGAGTTTCGTGTGAATGAAGATTGGAAAAAGGAGGAGACACCAAACAGTAAAAGAAAAATTCATTGTGAACAAGGAGAACTTGTACACCGGCCTGTGGCTGCCCATGCCTTGGTTTGGATCCCAGGGGTACCTGGGAAGATAGGAGGGTTCCAAGCAGGGCAGTTGCCACTGATGAGATCCATGTTATGAGTGGGAAGAACCACAGGGGGTCAGGGGGGAGGCAGAGGTTTGAGAAAGGGGCCTGGGGAGTCACCTGGCTGTGGGAGCTCAGTCCTTACTCCCACCTCATCGCCGTAGGCTCTGGACAGCATGCGGGAGCTGATCACCAGCATCATGGACTGGACGCTGGACTTCATTCGAAAGCGACTGCTGCCCTGGATCCAGGAACAGGGTGGCTGGGTGAGGCCCTTATCCCCCCCGCCCCCACTCCACTGGGACCTGGGGATCTTCCTGCACCCGCCACAGTGCTGCTCCCTTTCTCATTTTCTGATAATCACATGTGGTCTATAATGTGTCCTCACGTCTCCCTTCAACTGAGTGGATCTGGTCACTGACCCTTCCTGCTGGTGACCTCGGACCTCCCAGTTACCCTTGACCTAACTAGTACTTTTTACCCTCCTTGGGGTCTCCAGGTCCTCTAGAATTACTCAAATCTGTGATAATCCTTAACCCGCACTGCCTGGTCCTGACTCCCACAGTGCCCTTGTCTTCTCTCCCCACCTGCTCCCTGTGAGCGGGCCTTGGGGCTGCCCTGGCTGGGTGCTGACAGGAGATGTCTGTGTCCCCAGGACGGCCTCCTCTCACGATACAGTAATCATATCAAGTGGCTCGCAGTGGCAATGGCCATCATCGCAGTGGCAGTGGCCATCATCGCAGTGGCAGTGGACTTCACTCCAAAGCAACAGCTGCACTGGCCCTGGTCCTGGATCGCAGAACTTGCTGGCTGGGTGAGGCCCTTAACCACCCCCTCCCCAACTCCGCTGGACCTGGGGATCTTCCTGAACCTACCACAGAGCTGCTCCCTTTCTCATTTTCTGATAATCACATGTGGTCTGTAATGTGTTTCCTCACATCTCCCTTCAACTGAGTGGATCTGGTCACTGACCCTTCACCTGCTGGTGACCTCTGACCTCCCAGTTACTCTTGACCTAACTAGTACTTTTTACCCTCCTTGGGGTCTCCAGGTCCTCTAGAATTACTCAAATCTGTCATAATCCTTAACCCTCACTGCCTAGTCCTGACTCCACAGTGCCCTTGTCTTCTCTCCCCACCTGCTCCCTGTGATGGGCCTTGGGGCTGCCCTGGCTGGGTGCTGACAGGAGATGTCTGTGTCCCCAGGACGGCCTCCTCTCACAACAGAGTAATCAAATCAAGTGGCTCTCAGTGGCAGTGGCCATCATGGCAGTGACAGTGGCCACCATCGCAGTGGCAGTGGATTTCATTCGAGAGCAAAAGCTGCCCGGGACCTAGGATCGTGGTGTCTGGGTGAGGCCCTTAACCACCCCCTCCCCCACTCCGCTGGGACCTGGGGGTCTTCCTGTACCCGCCACAGTGCTGCTCCCTTCCACATTTTCTGGTCATCAAATGTGTTCTAAAAGCATTGTCTCACATGTCTGATCAACTCGATTCATCTGGTCTCGACCCCTCATCTCCTGGTGACCTGTGACCTCCCAGGATCCTCTGACCTGACTGATACTTTCTACCCTCCCTTGGGCCTCCAGTTCCCTTGGAACCTCTCACATCTGATACTCCTTGGCCCTCACTCTCTAGTCCCCATCATCTTAGGCCCTGATCCCTGCTGTGGCCTTGACTTCTCCCTGACACCTCCCCCACCCCTGTCCCCATGAGCCGGCCTGGGGGCTGCCCTAGCTGAGTGCTGATGAGAGCTGTCTGTGTCCCCAGGATGGCCTCCTCGCGAAACATGGAGAAACACTCAAGTGGACGGCAGTAGCAATGGCCATCGGGACCGGACTGCTTGCCTTAGCCCGACTCCGGCAAACTTAGGCTGAGGCCCCAGCTGCCTTCATCTCTGTCTTCTCAGCATGAATATGGCATGTTTCCATGAAGGCTGAGGCTAGAGGCCCATCCTTCCTTTTTTATTGCCACCCCTTCTGCCTGTTGCTTCCCTCTACTCCAAATCATTCAAGCTTCGCAGGGAGAACCCCCAACTCTCATTTTTCTTACTTTTGGAATTATTGGGCGATTGGGGTCATCTGGGGTAATAAAACTTCAGGCCACACTTCCTGTCTGTGTCATTCGGCTCACTCCCTGGTTGGTTCCATCTCTTTACTGGGGGCGCCCGGGGCTCCCTGAGGGTCAGTGATGAGCTGGGTCCAGGCTGCCCCCCAGGTGCCCACAGTCCCGACAGCACCTCCGTGGCACCCTAGGTTGTTGTGCTGGAGTCAGCGCTGGCCAGCTCTGTGCCCTCCAAGGAGGGCTTCATAGGTTGCATCTTAATCCGTTTGGCCACCAGGGAAGCCCTGAAAAGGTTTATTTTTTATTGGTTTTTTTTTTTTTAAATAGAGGCATACTTTATTTATTTATTTGTTTTGTTTTGTTTTTTGTTTATACATGCACTGGGTACAGTCAGAAGCGCGGGAGGGTGAGAGAATTCACCAGAGCCAGAGCGGGGAGCAGAGCAGGCAGAAGGACCGAAGTACACTGCTGAGGGGAGCAGCGGGCGGCAGGAGAGGTCTGCGCGCCATGTGGGACCCTCCTCCGGTGGCCGGGGAGCAGGCGGGGATCGAACCGGTGCCGCAGAGGCCGCGGGCATCTTTGCAACCCAGCGCTCAGCCGCTGTGCTACCTGGGAGGCCCTATTTTTTATTGTTTTTTAAATAAGATTTATTTATTGACACAAGAACCGGGACACAAGCCAGACTCGCAGGAGGGTGTGAGGACTCACCAGAGACAGAGTGGGGAGCAGAACAGGCCGACTGACGAAATACACTGCTGAGCAGAGCAGTGGGGAGACAGGAGAGGTCTGCTGTGCCATGTGGGTCACCTTCCTGGTCGGGGATTGAAATCGTTCTGCAGTGGCAGCAGATAGCTTCACAGTGCTGACACTTAGCCCCTTGTGCTACCAGGGAGGATCCTCATTTCCTCTTCTAAGGACACTATAATCTTACTTGATGAGGGTCCACCTTGTTTTAACTTAATTACCACTTTAAAATCCCCATATTTGGGGTCTTCCCTGGTGACACAAGGGGTGAAGTCTCAGCACTATGAAGCTATTGGCAGCCACTGCAGCATAAGTTTGATCCCCTGCCAGGGAGCTACCCACATGGTGCAGCAGACCTCTCCTGACTCCCCCGCTGCTCCACCCAGCAGAGTACTTCGGTCCGTCTACCTGTTCTGTTTCCTACTCTGTATGAAAATAAATAAATCTTTAAAAAAAACTAAAAGCAGATATTATAACCATACTGGCTGGATGACAGGTTTCTGTAGCTTCCCCCAGACTATTTTCTCATGACTTGTTTCTTACTTTTTCCTGCTTACAAGGAGCCACAGTGAACCCCACCCAGGAAAGTGCGTGTCTTCTGTGCACAGGGCCATGGATTTACTCTGTGCGCCCCCAGATCATCACCACAAGCTCCAGCACAGTGGGGGCACCCCGGCAGCCCTTCTTGGGGTCCCCAGTTCCCCGCGCTGCCCATCTAGCCCCGGGGATTGTGCGGCTTTTTGAACTTCACACCCTGTTTTGTTCACACAGACCCGGGATTTCGGCGTCTGACACGCGCGGCCTCAGGGAAGGCCTTGCTGGGCCGCGGGGGGCTCTGAGGGGCGCTCGGGCTCCTGCGCCTGACCTGTGACTCTGGAAACGCTGCTGCAGGCGCGGAAGTTCTCTAGGGCATCCCCACAGGCCCCAGGCAGGGGGTTGCTCTGTGGCTGTCGAAGCTGATTGGCCGGTCAGGCGAGGGGAGCAGCGGCCGGAAAAGCAAGAGCTCAGAGTCGCGGAGGGACCTGCCGCCCGAGGCGGCCTCGCCAGGGTCAGCGGAGAGAGCGGCCGTCATGGCCCTGTCCCGGCAGCAGCGCAGAGGCGGAGGTGAGGCTTGGCTGGAGGGAGACGGGCAGGAGGAGGGGAGCCCCGGGACGGCCCCCCTAGAGCCCCGGGAGCGAGATCTCCAAGTGCTCCCGGGCAGAACCTCCTGATCCAGTGCCACCAGCTTCCAGCCCCTCCTTCCCGGGGCGGGGGGGGGGCGGGGGTCCCGACTGGCTTACTTCCACAACCCGATGACTTCCTGCGGGGGGCTCTCAGAACCCGCAAGCACCTGGAGACCCTGAATCCAGACCCAGGACAGGCCCACTTCCTGCCTCTGCCCTGGGGGGAGGGGCGGCTCTCCTCTCTGCCCCTCAGGCCAGAGGTCTGCGCCCCTTAAGTGTTGCCCAGTCTTCTCCCACATGCCCCCCTCCCAAGAGTGTGGGACACAGGCTGGGCCCCCCCGCCTCTTCTCCATCAGGGACTCAGTTGTCCTGTCCCGGGTCACTTTATCTCCCAGGGCCCCAGAAGTCCAGTGCCCCCAGCAGGGTTGGCCTTTCCGGGGACCATGAGCAGCTCCCCACCCCCATGACCCCACCCCCCGGACTCCAGAGTCCAGACACCTCTCCCCTCCTGTCTCCTGCAGGGCCCACCAGCTCTGAGCAGATCATGGAGACAGCGGCCATTTTGCTTCCGTGGTGAGTTTGAGAGGTTTTGTTATTGGGGAGCAGATTTGGGGAGTGGCCCCTTTCTGACTCTGCATCCTCCACTCCTTTTGTTTTCAGTTTCATCTGCGATCAAATAGGACCAGCCGAAAGGATGTAGCTCAGCTGGCCCTAGAGCAGGTGGCCCAGGACCCACACATCAAAGAACTGGTGAAAGTTCTCAAGCGCAAGGCAAAAGAGGTGCACAAGGACAAGAAGCTGCAGAGGTGCGGCCCCAAAACCCAGGAATCCAGTCACTGGTCACCTCCATACACCAGGAGGCCCAGCTTCAGCCCCAAGCCCCTCCTCTCCTGCAATCCACACCCACAAGCCTTGCTCCTTCGCACCCCAGGGTCCAGGGTCCCATCACTTCACTCAGGAGTCTGAACTCCAGGCCGTCCCCTCCCCTGGGATCCTGAAACCCTCCTTGGGAGGTCATTTTCCTCTCTCCCCTAGATGTCTCCTGTCTGCACGTTGACCCCTTGATTTTCATTTCAGCCTGACCTGGGTCCCTTTACGTGGGGGATGAAGTGGCTAGCGGGGTCTCCACACTCTGCTAGACACTCTCCCTCCATCACAGATCTCCTCTTTCCTGCAGGTTGTTAGAAACTTTCGGAGGCTTCAATTTTGGCGAATTTTCTGAAGTGGCACGCGAAATATTTTCAGACGGCATCACCTGGGGCAAAATTGTCACCCTTTTCTGCTTTGCCAGCAAACTGGTGCTCAAGGTGGGCAGCTGCAGGGTAGGGTCCAGGGAGGTGTCCACAAAACCCTGAGGCCTAGGAGTCCTAACCGTACCCCTGTGGCAGCCCCTTGTCCACAGAGGGAATTGACAGAGACAGCTGTGGCTCCTGGTCTGCTCCTTCCTTCGCTTATTCGTTCAACACGCATGGGCCCACCAACACTGCAAAGCAGGCTGGGTTCTGCTCTCCTGCAGCCCACATGTGCACCTGGTCAGGAAAGACTTCTAAGAGGAGGTGATTGAGCCAAAGCCGGGAGGACAATAAAGATGCAGTGATATAGAAGGGTCAGGTGGGCAGAGGCGTCTGGCAGAGGACACAGCAAGTGCCAATGTCCTGAGGCAGCGCCAGGGCTGTGCTGAAGGCAGTAAGATGGGTGAGGGCTGAGGGCAGAGTGTGGAACCCCAGAAGGACCTTCGCTTTACTCACAGGGACACAGGAGGATTGTCTCCTGTCTCTGCCCTTAAAAATGAGAATGAGGTGACTGGTTTTTAAAAAAAATTTTTTTTAAGATTTATTTATTTATTTATTTATTTATTTATTTATTTATTTATTTATACGAGCACTGGGTACAGTCAGAAGCAAGGGAGGGTGAGAGAATTCAGCAGAGACAGAGCAGGGAACAGAACAGGCAGGACTGAAGTACACTGCTGAGGGGAGCAGCGGGCGCGGCAGGAGAGGTCTGTGCGCCATATGGGACCCTCGCCGGTGGCCGGGGATCGAACTGGCGCTCAAGAGGCTGTGGGCAGCTTCGCAGCCCAGCGCTCAACTGCTGCGCCACCGGGGAGGCCGAGGTGACTGATTTTTCATTTGAAGATTATTCTCACATATGCAGCCAAATGCTGGTTGTGCAGCCCACTGTTGTGGCTGTGAGACTGTTCACTCTGGAATCCTGGTAGCTTTTCTCTGGAGACGCTCACAGTGGAAGAAGGATTATCACAGAACATAGTTTGGCAACTATAGTTGGGAAAGGGACTGCGGGGCGCAGGGGCAAAAGGTGGGACGCTGGTGGGGGGCACCCAGAATGGACCCAGCGAATGATGAGGGGCCGGGACTCAGGTGGGAGCTGGGGTGGGAGGAAGGAGCTTTCTGGATGTGTTTGTAATATGGAGCTGATGGGGCCTGAATGTTGGAGGTGGGGGCAGCATTCAGTGCTGGGGGCTCATGTGGATCTGGGGAGAAGCAGCCACATAGAGGGTGGAAGGGGGCGTCCAGGGAGTTGGAGAGCAGGTCACGGCAACTGGGGGTGTTGAGTCTTAGCTGGCAGGTAAGTCAGACAAGTCCTATTGAGGCAGAATAACCAACATGCACAAAGGTCCTGAGGCAGAAAGGAGTTTCGTGTGAATGAAGATTGGAAAAAGGAGGAGACACCAAACAGTAAAAGAAAAATTCAGTGTGAACAAGGAGAACTTCCATATGGCCTGTGGCAGCCCATGCCTTTGGTTTGGATCCCAGGGGTACTTGGGAGGATGAGAGGGTTCCAAGCAGGGCAGTTGCCAGTGATGAGATCCAAGTTATGAGTGGGAAGAACCACAGGGGGTCAGGGGGGAGGCAGAGGTTGAGAAACGGGCCTGGGGAGTCACCTGGCAGTAGGAGCTCAGTCCTTACTCCCACCTCTTCGCCGTAGGCCCTGTGCACGGACATGCGGGAGCTGATCACCAGCATCGTTGGCTGGACGCTGGACTTCATTCGAAAGCGACTGCTGCCCTGGATCCAGGAACAGGGTGGCTGGGTGAGGCCCTTATCCCCCCCGCCCCCACTCCACTGGGACCTGGGGATCTTCCTGCACCCGCCACAGTGCTGCTCCCTTTCTCATTTTCTGATAATCACATGTGGTCTATAATGTGTCCTCACTTGTCCCTTCAACTGAGTGGATCTGGTCACTGTCCCTTCCTTCTGGTGACTTCTGACCTCCCAGTTACCCTTGACCTAACTAGTACTTTTTACCCTCCTTGGGGTCTCCAGGTCCTCTGGAATTACTCAAACCTGTGATAATCCTTAACCCTCACTGCCTGGTCCTGACTCCCACAGTGCCCTTGTCTTCTCTCCCCACCTGCTCCCTGTCAGTGGGCCTTGGGGCTGCCCTGGCTGGGTGCTGACAGGGGATGTCTGTGTCCCCAGGACGGCCTCCTCTCACAATACAGTAATCAAATCAAGTGGCTCGCAGTGGCAGTGGCCTTCATCGCAGTGACAGTGGCCATCTTCGCAGTGTCAGTGGACTTCACTCCAAACCAACAGCTGCACTGGCCCTGGTCCTGGATCCTGGAACTTGCTGGCTGGGTGAGGCCCTTAACCACCTCCTCCCCCACTCCGCTGGGACCTGGGGATCTTCCTGAACCCACCACAGTGCTGCTCCCTTTCTCACTTTCTGATAATCACATGTGGTCTATAATGTGTTTCCTCACGTCTCCCTTCAACTGAGTGGATCTGGTCACTGACCCTTCCTGCTGGTGACCTCTGACCTCCCAGTTACCCTTGACCTAACTAGTACTTTTTACCCTCCTTGGGGTCTCCAGGTCCTCTAGAATTACTCAAACCTGTGATAATCCTTAACCCGCACTGCCTAGTCCTGACTCCCCTGTCTTCTCTCCCCACCTGCTCCCTGTGAGCGGGCCTTGGGGCTGCCCTGGCTGGGTGCTCACAGGAGATGTCTGTGTCCCCAGGACGGCCTCCTCGCACAATACAGTAATCAAATCCAGTGGTTCTCATCGGCATTGGCCATCATCCCAGTGGCAGTGGCCATCATCGCAGTGTTAGTGGCCATCATCGCAGTGGAAGTGAACTTCATTTGAGAGCAAAAGCTGCCCGGGACCTAGGATCGTGGTGTCTGGGTGAGGCCCTTAACCACCCCCTCCCCCACTCCGCTGGGACCTGGGGGTCTTCCTGAACCCGCCACAGTGCTGCTCCCCTCCACATTCTCTGGTCATCAAATGTGTTCTAAAAGCATTGCCTCACATGTCTGATCAACTCAATTCATCTGGTCTCGACCCCTCATCTCCTGGTGACCTGTGACCTCCCAGGAACCTCTGACCTGACTGACACTTTCTACCCTCCCTTGGGCCTCCAGTTCCTTTGGAACCCCTCACATCTGATACTCCTTGGCCCTCACTCTCTAGTCCCCATTTCTTAGGCCCTGATCCCTGCTGTGGCCTTGACTTCTCCCTGACACCTCCCCCACCCCTGTCCCCATGAGCCGGCCTGGGGGTTGCCCTAGCTGAGTGCTGATGAGAGCTGTCTGTGTCCCCAGGATGGCCTCCTCTAGAAACATGGAGAGACACTCAAGTGGACGGCAGTGGCAATGGCCATCGGGACCGGACTGCTTGCCTTAGCCGGACTCGGGCGAACTTAGGCTGAGGCCCCAGCTGCCTTCTACTCTGTCTTCTCAGCATGAATATGGCATGTTTCCTTGAAGGCTGAGGCTAGAGGCCCATCCTTCCTTTTTTATTGCCACCCCTTCTGCCTGTTGCTTCCCTCTGCTCCAAATCATTCAAGCTTCGCAGGGAGAACCCCCAACTCTCATTTTTCTTACTTTTGGAATGATTGGGGGGGTTGGGGTGATCTGGGGTAATAAAACTTTCAGGCCACACTTCCTGTCTGTGTCATTCGGCTCACTTCTTGGTTGGTTCCATCTCTTTACTGGGGGCGCCCGGGGTTCCATGAGGGTCAGTGATAAGCTGGGTCCAGGCTGCCCTCCAGGTGCCCACAGTCCCGACAGCACCTCCGTGGCACCCTAGGCTGTGGGGCTGGAGGCAGCGCTGGCCAGCTCTGTGCCCTCCAAGGAGGGCTTCATAGGTTGCATCTTAATCCCTTTAGCCACCAGGGAAGCCCTGAAAAGGTTTATTTTTTATTGTTTTTTAAAAAAGATTTATTTATTTACACAAGAACCGGGACACAATCCAGACTCGCGGGAGGGTGAGAGGACTCACCAGAGACAGAGCGGGGAGCAGAACAGGCAGACTGATGAAATACACTGCTGAGAGGAGCAGCAGGCGCCACAGGAGAGGTCTGCTGCACCATGTGGGACCCTCGCCCTTCAGCCGGGATAGACCTGGTGCTGCAGAGGCTGCGGACAGCTTCACAGCACTGTGCTCAACCGCCTGCACCACCAGAGGAGGCCCTGAAAAGGTTTTATTTTTAAGATTTATTTATTTATGCATACAAGAACTGGGGTGCAAGTCACGAGTGTAGGGTGTGAGAGGATTCACCAGAGAAGAGTGGGGAGCAGAACAGGCCGACTGACGAAATACACTGCTGAGCAGAGCAGTGGGGAGACAGGAGAGGTCTGCTGTGCCATGTGGTCACCTTCCTGGCCGGGGATTGAAATCGTTCTGCAGTGGCAGCAGACAGCTTCACAGTGCTGACACTTAGCCCCTTGTGCTACCAGGGAGGATCCTAATTTCTTCTTCTAAGGACACTATAATCTTACTTGATTAGGGTCCACCTTGTTTTAACTTAATTACCACTTTAAAATCCCCATATTTGGGGTCTTCCCTGGTGACACAAGGGGTGAAGTCACAGCACTGTGAAGCTATTGGCAGCCACTGCAGCACAAGTTTGATCCCCTGCCAGGGAGCTACCCACATGGTGCAGCAGACCTCTCCTGCCTCACCTGCTGCTCCACCCAGCAGTGTACTTCGGTCCGTCTGCCTGTTCTGTTTCCTACTCTGTATGAAAATAAATAAATCTTTAAAAAAAATTAAAAGCAGATATTATAACCATTCTGGCTGAATGGCAGGTTTCTGTAGCTTCCCCCAGACTATTTTCTCATGACTTGTTTCTTATCTTTTCCTGCTTACAAGGAGACCCATGAACCCCACCCAGGAAAGTGGGTGTCTTCTGTGCACAGGGCCGTGGATTTACTATGTGCGCACCCAGATGATCACCACAGGCTCAAGCACAGTGGGGACACCCCGGAATCCCTTCATGGGGTCCCCCAGTTCCCCCCGCTGCCCATCTAGCCCCAGGGATTGTGCGGCTTTTTGAACTTCACACCCTGTTTCGGTCACACAGACCCGGGATTCCGGCGTCTGAAACGCGCGGCCTCAGGGAAGGCCCTTGCTGAGCCGTGGGTGGGGGTCTCTGACCGTCCCCCACCTGTGACTCTGAAAACGCTGCTGCAGGCGCGGAAGTTCTCTAGGGCATCCCACAGGCCATAGGCAGGGGGGTTGCTTGTCGAGGGCGAACCTGATTGGCCAGTCAAGCCAGGGGAGCAGTGGCCTGAAAAGGGAGAGCTCAGAGGCCCTGAGGGGATCTGGTGCTCCTGTTGGCCCCGCCAGGGTCTGCGGAGAGCAGCGGTCATGGACTGGTCAGGGAGCAGCGCAGAGGCAGAGGTGAGGCTGGAGGCAGACTGGCGGGAGGACGCGATCCCCGGGACGTCCCCCCTAGAGCCCCGGGAGCGAGATCTCCAAGTGCTCGCGGGCAGAACCTCCCCATCTGGTGCCACCAGCCTCCAGCCCCTCCTTCCCCAGGGGTCCCGGCTCGCTTACTTCCGCACCTGATGTCTCCCTGGGGGGGCTCTCAGACCCCGCAAGCCCCTGGAGACCCCTGAATCCAGACCCAGGACAGGCCCACTTCCTGCCTCTGCCCTAGGGGGAGGGCGGCTCTCCTCACTGCCCCTCAGGCCAGAGGTCTGCTCCCCTTAAGTGTTGCCCAGTCTTCTCCCACATGCCTCCCTCCCAAGAGTGTAGGACACAGGCTGGGCTTCCCCGCCTCTTCTCCATCAGGACTCAGTTGTCCTGTCCCTGGTCACTTTATCTCCCAGGGCCCCAGAAGTCCAGTGCCCCCTGCAGGGTAGGCCTTCCTCGGGTACCATGAGCCAGCTCCCTTCCCCAATGACCCCACCCCCGGACTCCAGAGTCCAGACACCTCTCCCCTCCTTCCTCCTGCAGGGTCCACCAGCTCTGAGCAGATCATGGACACAGCGGCAAAACGCATCGGCGGTAAGTTGGAGAGGTTTTGTTATTGGGGAGCGGATTTGAGGAGTGGCCCCTTCCTGACTCTGCATCCTCCACTCCTTTTCTTTCAGGTTCATCTGCGATCAAATAGGACCAGCCTCAAAGGATGTAGCTCAGCTGGCCCTAGAGCAGGTGACCCAGGACCCACACATCAAAGAACTGGCGGAAGTTCTCAAGCGCATCGCACAACAGGTGGACAATGACAAGGAGCTGCAGAGGTGCGGCCCCAGGACCCAAGAATCCAGTCACTGGTCACCTCCATAAACCAGGAGGCCCAGCTTCAGTCCCCAACCCCCTGCTCTCCTGCGATCCACACCCACAAGCCTTGCTCCTTCACACCCAGGGTCCAGGGTCCCATCACTCAAATCAGAAGGCCGAACTCCAGGCCGTCCCCTCTCCTGGGATCCTGAAACCCTCCTTGGGAGGTGATTTTCCTCTCTCCCCTAGATGTCTCCTGTCTGCACGTTGACCCCTTGGTTTTCATGTCAGCCTGACCTGGGTCCCTTTACGTCGGGGATGAAGTGGCTAGCGGGGTCTCCACACTCTGCTAGACACGCTCTCCCCATCACGGCTCTCCTCTTTCCTGCAGGATGATGGGAATGGACAGAGTCTTCACTGCTGAGGACTTTCTCAAAGTGGCACGCCATGTATTTTCAGACGGCATCACCGGGGCCCCGGTTTCTGACCTTTTCTGCTTCGCCAGCAAACTGGTGCTCAAGGTGGGCAGCTGCAGGGTCGTGAGCCCAGGGAGGTGTCCACAAAACCCTGAGACCTGGGAGTCCTGACCGTACCCCTGGGGCAGCCCTGTATCCACAGAGGGAATTGACAGAGACAGCTGTGGCCCCTGGTCTGCTCCTTCCTTCGCTTACTCATTCAACACGCGTGGGCCCACTAACACTGCAAAGCAGGCTGGGTCCTGCTCTCCTGCAGTCCACGTGTTGTACTCCTGGTCAGGAAAGACTTCTAAGAGGAGGTGACATTAAGCCAAAGCCGGGAGGACAATAAAGACGCAGCGATATAGAAGGGTCAGGTGGGCAGAGGCGTCTGGCAGAGGACACAGCAAGAGCCAATGTCCTGAGGCAGCGCCAGGTTTGTGCTGAAGGCAGTAAGATGAGTGAGGGCTGAGGGCAGAGTGTGGAATCCCTGAAGGACCTTAGCTTTCCTCACAGGGACACAGGAGGATTGTCTCCTGTCTCTGTCTTTAAAAATGAGAATGAGGTGACTGGTTTTTAATTTTTTTTTTTTTTAAGATTTATTTATTTATTTATTTATACAACACTGGGTGCAGTCAGAAGCACGGGAGGGTGAGAGAATTCACCAGAGCCAGAGTGGGGAGCAGAGCAGGCAGGACTGAAGTACACTGCTGAGGGGAGCAGCGGTTGTGGCAGGAGAGGTCTGTGCGCCATGTGGGACCCTCGCCGGCAGCCGGGGATCCAACTGGCACTGCAGAGCCTGTGGGCAGCTTCGCAGCCCAGCGCTCAACCACTGCGCCACCAGGAGAGGCCCAAGGTGACCGATTTTTCATTTGAAGATTATTCTCACATATGCAGCCAAATGCTGGTTGTGCAGCCCACTGTTGTGGCTGTGAGACTGTTCACTCTGGAATCCTGGTAGCTTTTCTCTGGAGACGCTCACAGTGGAAGAAGGATTATCACAGAACATAGTTTGGCAACTATAGTTGGGAAAGGGACTGCGGGGCGCAGGGGCAAAAGGTGGGACGCTGGTGGGGGGCACCCAGAATGGACCCAGGAATGATGAGGGGCTGGACTCAGGTGGGAGAGGGGGTGGGAGGAAGGAGCTTTCTGGATGTGTTTTGTAACATGGAGCTGATGGGGCCTGAATGTTGGAGGTGGGGGCAGCATTCAGTGCTGGGGGCTCATGTGGATCTGGGGAGAAGCAGCCACATAGAGGGTGGAAGGGGGCGTCCAGGGAGTTGGAGAGCAGGTCACGGCAACTGGGGGTGTTGAGTCTTAGCTGGCAGGTAAGTCAGACAAGTCCTATTGAGGCAGAATAACCAACATGCACAAAGGTCCTGAGGCAGAAAGGAGTTTCGTGTGAATGAAGATTGGAAAAAAGGAGGAGACACCAAACAGTAAAAGAAAAAATTCAGTGTGAACAAGGAGAACTTGTACACCGGTCTGTGCAGCCCATGCCTTGGTTTAGATCCCAGGGTACTTGGGTGGATGGAAAGGTCCTAAGCAGGGCAGTTGCCAGTGATGAGATCCAAGTTATGAGTGGGAAGAACCACAGGGGGTCGGGGGGAGGCAGAGGTTTGAGAAAGGGGCCTGGGGAGTCACCTGGCAGTAGGAGCTCAGTCCTTACTCCCACCTCATCGCCGTAGGCCCTGTGCACGGACATGCGGGAGCTGATCACCAGCATCATGGACTGGACACTGGACTTCATTCGAAAGCGACTGCTGCCCTGGATCCAGGAACAGGGTGGCTGGGTGAGGCCCTTAACCGCCCCCTCCCCCACTCGGCTGGACCTGGGGATCTTCTTGAACCCACCACACAGCTGCTCCCTTTCTCATTTTCTGATAATCGCATGTGGTCTATAAATGTGTCCTCACGTGTCCCTTCAACTGAGTGGATCTGGTCACTGACCCTTCCTGCTGGTGACCTCTGACCTCCCAGTTACTCTTGACCTAACTAGTACTTTTTACCCTCCTTGGGGTCTCCAGGTCCTCTAGAATTACTCAAATCTGTGATAATTCTTAACACCGCACTGCCTGGTCCTGACTCCCACAGTGCCCTTGTCTTCTCTCCCCACCTGCTCCCTGTGAGCGGGCCTCGGGGCTGCCTGTCTGGGTGCTGACAGGAGATGTCTGTGTCCAGGGCGGCCTCCTCTCACAACACAGTAATCAAATCAAGTGGCTCGCGGGCCTCCCGGTGGCGCAGCGGTTGAGCGCTGGGTTGCGAAGCTGCCCGCGGCCTCTGCGGCGCCGGTTCGATCCCCGGCTGCTCCCCGGCCACAGGAGGAGGGTCCCCCATGGCGCGCAGACCTCTCCTGACGCCCGCTGCTCCCCTCAGCAGTGTCCTTCGGTCCTTCTGCCTGCTCTGCTCCCCGCTCTGGCTCTGGTGAATTCTCTCACCCTCCCGCGCTTCTGACTGTACCCAGTGCTTGTATAAACAAAAAAACCCCAAACAAATAAAGAAAGAAAGAAAGAAAACATGCCTCTATATTAAAAAAAAAAAAAAAAAAATCAAGTGGCTCGCAGTGGCAGTGGCCATCATCGCAGTGGCAGTGGCCATCATCATGACTGGAGTGCTTGCCTTGATAGAGAACAGCTAAGAAAAAAACAACCCAGGCCTCCCTGGTGGCGCAAGGGTTTAAGAGGCAACCTATGAATATGTCCACGGTCACTGCAGCATGAGTTCCATCTCAGGCCAACCAAGGAGCAACCCTCATAAATAATAAATAAATATTTTTTAAAAAAGATTTATTTATTTATTATTTATGCATAAAAGAGCTGGGGTACAGGCCAGAAGTGGGGGTGGTGAGAGGATCCTCAGAGACAGAGTGGGGAGCAGAACAGGCGGATATTCCTAAATACACTGCTGAGGGGAGCAGCGGGCGAGACAGGAGAGGTCTGCTGTGCCGCGTGGTCAGCTCCCTGGCTGGGATCCAACTCATGGCACAGCAGCTGCGATAGTTTGATAGTGCTGTCTCTTTAACCCCTGGGCCACCGGGGAGGCCCTAATGCAGTTTATTTAAGAAAGAAGGGAAAACAAGTCTCTGAGGCCACCAGTGGCTCATTATATCACCCCAAGTAGTGGTCAGTGTTTTCAAATCCTAAGCAAAGGGCATCCAAAGGGGCGTCCACCACCACAGAGGGCCTGGAGCACGTGGCAGCCAGACAGCAGGTAGGGATCAACTTGAGATGTCAGCAGAAGAAGCAACAGGAAGTGCTCACCGGAAGCAGAGATGCGCCCAAGACAACAGCACAGTATCAGAGAAGCAACGCTGGAAACAGCAGGAGCAGCAGCCTAGCGGCCTGACAGACAGTCCACACTCACACAACTCAGTGACGTGCCCAGCTCCAGGTCCCTTGCCTTCCCTTCTGGGCTGAAATAGCAGTAAAGTTGGCATCAGTTTCAGTCATTCAGCAACCTGCAAAACTTCTTCAACTTTTCTCCTCCCAAGTTGGCTGCTGGAGCTTCTGCATGTTCTCTGGAGGCCAGCAAACAGCCTTCTGGAAGGTGAAGTGTAGCAGGGGCAGGAATCCCTGAACCTAGTGGCTGCTTTGCGGCCCCTTTGTTCCCTATTAGAGTCCCACCTCACTGATTCCTCCTTACCTGAGCATATTCTACCTGGGGCTATACACCCTCAGCTGCGCCCCCCTCCAGGTGGGCCCACCTGTAATGGGCCTTTTGGCTCCAGCCTTGCCCTTCAGCCCCCAGTTACCGTTACATCGTTTTAATGGAGGTGCCACTTGCTCCCTGAGGCTCAGTGATGAGCTGGGTCAGCCTGCCCTTCGGGTGCACACAATCCCGACAGCACCTCCCTGGCACCCTCGTGTGGGCTGGAGGCAGCGCTGGGCCAGCTCTGTGCCCTGCAAGGAGCCTGGGGCTGGAGAGGCTAGAAGGGGAGCTGGAGGAAGAACAGGGAGGACACTCAGAGCAGCCTCCCTGGCCCAGCTAAGCCGGGCCCAGAAGCTTTCTAACATTTGGGGCCACAGGAAGTTACATGTTAACTGAGGTGGAGAAAAAGTGGGGAGCGCATCTGGGGAGGTCTCAGGAGCCCTTTGGGGAAGCTGGGAAGCCTGAAGATCTGAGACCAGACAGTCCCAGGCAGAGACCAGGCTGGGTCCGCATGGGGCTGTGTGTGCCACTGGAGGGACAAATCTGCGCGCTGACAGGTGTGGGGGGAGGGCTGGAGGGAAAGAGGAGTTCTGGAGTCTGTCCCAGAGAGTGGTTGTGGGGGTGCTGCTGGAGAGGAGCAGTCTGAGGGGAGACCCTGAGGGCCAAGAAGGGGCAGAGGAAGGTTACAGGGTCTGTCACCCAAGGGTCTGTATCTGTTCCTTCTCTCCGTGTCTCACCCTTTCTCTTTGCCCCCGTTTTCTCCATGTCTTCCGTCCCCTCTCCTCAGGGTCTCTCCCCTCTTTCTCTGTCCTCTTCCTCACGCTGTGTCCCCCTCTCTAGGGCAGAGCTTGAGGATTTAAAAGCTGCAGCAGGGGCCTGTGATGGGCAAAGGTGTCACAACAAGGCCTAGCCCAGCCCGGGCCACCCACCAAGGACATCCCCTCATGGGTTCCAGCAAAGCGTCAGCCCAACCCCAGCCCCAGCAGCGTGGGTGCTGCCTGTGACGTCTGGTCCCCGTGCTTTCAGTCAGTGCAGCTGGAAGTCAAACATGAAGTGCAGGGGTTGTGAAGCAGGGAGCTTATCTCAACTCTCAAAGGCCAGGGTGGAGGGTGGGAGGCCGCCCCAAGTCCACCGCCAGAAGGAGGCGTTATAGACTTGCCATCGACAGCTTTGAGAAGATGCCTTTTCAGCTTCCCCTGCCTTCGAAGTCCAAACCCCTTCCACTTTCTCCTTAGTGCTGAGTGGCCTACACACACCTGCTTTGTCTAACTGCCTTCGGATAGTCAGCATTTATATGGGTTCCCCACGCAAATGCAGTTAGGTTTTTCCCTCTCATGTCAGCCTGTTTGATGTCAGTTGGATTACTTG